CTAAAACGACCGATCATTCATTTATTTTATTTCATTGATAAGCCTAGTGATGTAGAAGGGCCGATGATTGAAAATTTTCAAACCAAAGCTAGGCCCTACTGCTTGAGGCAGGGTTGATGATTTGTTTTGAATTTATTTGACGTTGCGAAAAGGCTTAGCAAAGGGCGTACCATATCAGATGACAAACACAACGGCTTAACAAAAAAGGCCTATCCATTGAAAGATTCACAAAAGGCTTATTAATTTATGAAATTAAAATGTTATTGATTTTCATATATTTTTGAAAACTTTTCGCATATTTTGGATGTTGTATATTGAGATACAGTCACTATTGTTATTGTGAACAATATAAATGCCCAAAATATTTCAATTTTCTTAAAAAGGAATTGAATAGTGTCGGAAAAATTTTAAATTCATTTTCTGGTTTGTTTACGTTTTGGACATAGGCCTATTACAAAGGTTACTCTAGAAATGTCACTTATCCGTTGAGTCAATCAAAACATTTAAAAAATCTGAACTGGCAGTTTCAAGCAACCATTCTAAATCTCCTGCCCACCTACCCGAGACGAAGTTCTACCGCAATCAATACCATCGGATTGGATCCATTCAACTGTCGCCAACTAATGGAAGGTTTCACGGTGGTGATCGCCTCCGGAGGATTCCGTGGAGAAATTTGGTGTCAGTGTTGACTCGTTCGTGTGCCCGTCGAACAAATCAAAGATTTTCTCCGGTACCCAACCAAAATATCCCGTCACCAGAACGGACGACGTTTTGTTTCGACTGCGCAGGTACCGTAGGAGGAAATCAAGAAGCTCTCCCGATGGGAAGTCAACAACATCAAGGTGAAAGTAGGTGAATAAGAGATTTTTCGCGAGCGTGATCCAACTTTAATCAATGGTGCTGAGCGCTGCGCATGTTGTTTCCGCCTCAGACATTCGATGATACTAAAAAGATCCGCATTTAAATAATGTCCATGTGGCCTTTCTTTACCTTGCCCTGGCTGTCCTGTGTAGCTTGCAAAATCGACGCAATGACCTGATCCAGGAAGCCATCGTTTTGAAAGTGAAAATGCAGCATTGAACAGCTTTCATTTGTATGATATGAAACTGGTCAGGCTGCAGCAAATATTCCGACACTCATTGGTCAAAAGTATCCGGATCTCCTCGGTACTGGCTTCGTACGCTTTGAAAGCTTCCACGCGATACCGCCGTCAGTATAAATTTCCACAGCAAACTCAAATCCCTGATGCTGCACATGCAAACAATAACAAAGCTGTTCTTTTTTCTCACTGTCAAAAATGACAAACTATATCAAGTTACCGTAATGTGAATACCTCAACTTGGATTCTGTGACACTACCCCGAATGTCACTACCCCGAACGCCGTTACCCCGAACGGTACACTACCATAGAGGTAACTCTAAGACCACTGGGTCCCGAAGAAAATCATTATTATTTTTGGCTCACTCAGTACCAGAACAACGGTCCCAAGCAGTCCCAAGCTATTTCACTCACCCCTGCATGTTCTGCATGAATCCACACACCCCTGATGTTATCTGTCAAACTTTCATAGCGAATCAAAACAAACATAGTGTAGTAATAGAATTTCAACTAGAATAGGGTACGTTAATCGTTTGCTTGGGACCAATAGGCTACTAAAGTGGTGAGCCAATTTAAAATCGTTAGTTTCGTATTGATTGTTGACACTACCCCGAACGTCGTTACCCCGAATAGTACACTACCCCGAATGGCCATTACCCCGAATGGCGACTACCCCGAAATTAAGACAAATAGAAGAACAGCAAGGGATAAATTTTTGAGAAGGAAATTTTCTTTTCTAATTAACCACTTCATTCGAGCACTTAAAATGACGTTTACTACCACTCGAACTTTGAAATAAAACATTATTTTGAGATTTTTTCTTCTAGAACCTCGAGAAAAGTAGCCAACATTTGTGCGTTTTATAATTAAAAATAGAAATTAGTTGGTCCAGTTTTGTGAAATCGCTGGTAGAAAGTCACGCCAAAACTGCTTGACAAAGTGGTCAATTTATACTGAATACAAATGATAGGATTCTATAACATTCCCCAGAAAACCATTCCCCCGAAAACCATTCCCCAGAATCTCATTCCCCAGAATGCACCATTCCCCAGAAAAGCATTTCCCAGAATGAACCATTCCCCAGAATGTACCATTCCACAGAAAAGTATGCCATGTATTAGATTGACTATTTTTGTTTATTATAGTCATTCCTGGAATATTCTTTCGCGTATATAAAAAGAAAAGAATGTTTATAAATTACGTGGACAGTTTATGGAAGGGGGGGGGGGGGTGTTGGCAATTGTGCACGGTCCATACAAATTTTAAAAATTTTGTATGGAAAATTGTCTACGCAGGGGAAGGGGGGGGGGGGTCAAGAATCCCAAAAAAAACTGTCTACGTAGTTAATGAACAGCCCCTTAATGGCTCAAGGGGGTTTCCCATCTTTGAAAATATAACAATAGGAAATAATTAATTCTTTGGATATACGATAAAGAAGGGAATATTCCCTTCTTTTAATATATAAAAGAGAAAATAATCAATTTGTTAAATATATGATAAAGAAGGGAATATTCCTTTCTTTGAATATATAAAAAGAAAATAATTTATTCTTTGGATGTATGATAAAGAAGGGAAGGGAATATTCCCTTCTTTCAATATATAAGGAAAATATGTAATCAATAGCTTTTGGCAAGGGATTCGGAGTAATGACCATTTGGGATAATAACGTGTGGAATAATGTTATAAATTTGTAATCGATAGTTCAACGTTCCATGCACCGATTTTTCAATCCATAACGAGAAATTCTTCAACTCAGGTCTAGACTCAGGTCGAACAATTCTTTGATAAGGTTTAACAGTTTTCGACTGGTATTGCATATTGAATTGGATTGCATATTAGACCCTTTGACTTTTTAAATGGTGAACGAAGTGCTCGAAAACTTGAAGGTTGTCATTTTCTAAAGAGCTTTAAAATGGTTTGGAATTGATAAATACATAGTTCCATAAAAGTAAACGTAGTGTATCATCAATTTAGTAAAGTGAAACTAATCAGAGCGTTTAATCACAGACAACAGACATAAAACTTTGAAAAAGTTTTTCTTGAAAACATAGTATCTCAAAACATAGGACCTCAGTAACGACATCTCTCGGGCTTCTCGCGTAAAACAAGCTTGCTCGCTTGCAAGCTTCAAAATTCCAATAAAAAATTATCATTTAATAATATTAATATATATAAATATATACATAAATTCCAAAACGAAATTTCCTTCTAAAAATGTACCCTTCTTTTGACCCCTTGCTGTTCTTTCATTTGTCTTAATTTCGGGGTAATGGCCATTCGGGGTAATGGCGTTCGGGGTTATGGCGTTCGGGGTAGTGACATTCGGGGTAGTGTCACAGAATCCTCAACTTGATATCGATATCATCTCGTTATATCACGTGATATAGAGCGTAATGAGAACGAGGTATTAGAGAGAAAAAATACAAGGAATTCCAAAAGAAGCAATCAACGGCAGTGGTGAGAGCTGTCCAATTGTTCCTTACAAATGTAATATCAATATTAAACTAAATACGTACCAGGTTTGAAAAGAATAAGGTACCAGGCTGTGAGACATAAGGGGGTCAAATGAATGACGGTCAAATCTCAAGTCTCAAGGCCACATCCCAGAACGTGAGTGGTAATCACGTCAAACTATAATGTCGAAAATGAATAACATGCGCCAAACAACCCCTAGAACGGCTCCCATACACTCTCCATGCTGAATCGTGAGTCCCCCCTTTTCCCATATCATTGCATGCAAAATAATAACCCAATGCAGGTCAATTGAATATGCCTAAATGAATTAGTTGCAATGATAATGGCAGTATAATGTACTAATTGAATAAAATGAATATTTACCTGTTAATAATGATCGAGATTGGTGAAAAGTAAAGGAAGTTGTTAGTTGATTTTACCATCACAGAGTTTGACAATAGCGCGATGGTATATTATTATGATACTAATTAGACTAAATCCGGGATGTTCAGTTGATCATCGCTACTTGAATCACTGAGGCTAGGCATTAACATTTATTTGACTTTTAACTCCTAGAGTTATTTCGTCAAGGGTGTCTCCGTGAGGGCACTGGTTAACTTGAACTTGAGAGCATCTTCCGAGTATTCGTATTCTGATTCCACCATTTCAGTGAAAAATCTTGTCGCGGCTGTTTTAAACTCGGGTCAGTTATTAGCCACCTCTTGCCAAAAATCTGCCGATCGACCGCTTCCTTCTACATCGTGCCTTGCGCTGGTTTTCCATGTGAAGCATGGTCTTCCAACTTTCTTCTTCTCCCGGATCCCATACTTAAGGTCTTTCCTGATAATCTGTTATGATGGTTTTGTTTTTATGAAAATAAAATGATGTTCTATCCCTCTATCTTGGCTATATGTTGATCCAGCGTGCAGATAGTTAATATCCTTGTCTTCTTCAAAACTTCATCGTCTTAATCTAAAAAATCATTCCAAAAGTTTTGAACCAAATAAAAAAAAAATAGTTTTTGTAGCCATTAGACTCAATTATTTAGAAAAAAAACAATTCATATTTAAAATCATAATTCTAAACTATACAATTATTTGATTTTAGCTAGTAGTTAAATTCCAACAAACTTTTGGTCCGCTACATCACAAATGGCATCACTAGTGTGCATCTTTCAAAATATAATGATACAGACAAACCCTGGGACCTGGTTGCAATTAAGCAATCCTAATGGTTATCCCAATGCCCAGGGTCAGTGGTATTGTTGCACCAAATTATACCTTAAACATCCATCTTTAAGATGAACGAGAAAGATTTGGAATTAAGGTTATGGGAAATTATTGATAAATAAACAGTGGCCCTTTTTAAAATTGGACAAAACTTTGCTAGCCCTGGAAAATTTTGTCAAACCCCTATGAATAAGAAATCACAAACGGATGATACTCACTTTGTCTTGAAGAAGAAATAATAGAATGAGTAGATGTAGACGTAGATCGACGTCGAAGCCGCCGACATGAAGCTGGTCCACTGCCATCGGTAGTCTTCGGCGTTGAGCAAAAAGTATGTGCACACGATTGTCACGCACACGGTCACAATGATCAGAATCAGGAACACCAGCAGCATGAAACCGTACACGTAGTAGATCTTGTACGCCCAGAACGAGGTGAAGATGAAGTACCTGAGCCGAAAAAAATGAGCAATCAGTGTGTTATCTTCCTCCTGAATTCAGCTAATACTAACATTTCAATAAAGATCGACCCAAAAGGCAGAACTCCTCCCAGCAGAATGATCACCAGGGGTTCCATAAACCACTTCTTCTCCGGAATGGGCCGAGGAACGGCGTTCACCCGACATGGGTAGTCCGGTTGACCGTCCAGATTGCGACCGACGATCGTTCCTATCAGCGTCAGCGGGAGGATCACGAAGATGCAGATACAAGTAACGGCAACCTGTTTGCGAAAAAAAAAATCTTTTAAGTACCGTGGGCATTTTTTATAATCCGAACAGTAGTAGTACCATCGTTCCAAATGGAATCGCCCTCGATGCATGATAGTAGATCGCAATGAAGTTGATGAAGAATGCCGTTCCACAGACCAAAGCCGGAACGATGAATGCGGACAGGAGCATTTGTTTGATCCATTGCTTCCCACCCATCCGAGCGTATAGTGATCCTCCGAAGTAGCCATTAACGGGCGATGTTGCTGCGTAGACAAAGATTGTCGTCGAAAGCATAGATCCTCGTCTGCAATGAAAATTCATGAAATAAGCCGTCAAATCATCGACAATTTGCTACTTTAAACCCACTCTGTGTACAACTCTCCGAGTATTGCAAAACTAATAACACATAGCACCACGGAAGTAAGCTGATATCCGGCGCCAATGAGTGCCGAAAAGAGCATAGCATTCGATGCCGGTCGGAATACGTCTCCGTGGATCTGTTTCCATCCGTATTCATCACCCAGATCTCGTTCCTGAAATAATGTTGCAGTTGTCATAACGTCTAGGACTTCCAGAATAAATCACTACCCACCATATCGTCAGCTTCCTCATCCTTGCTGTACCTAGCGTAATCCTTTCTCAGTGTTCGCATCAGAATCATCGATACCAAGCCGACGAGGAAAATAACCATCATGAAGCTGTTGAAAATGCTGAACCAGTGGATCCGGTGCTGGAAGAAGTTCGGATCCAGATACTTGTCGAATCGATCCTCAAACTTGACGTTGCTCGGTTTCCAGTTGACTTCGTAGGTAAACTTCATCTTGGCGCCCACCTTCAGCAGTTCCTTCTTCTCCGGAGTCAAGGTCACATCCACAATCTGCTTGCCGTTGTAGCTAACGTCGAACTTTTTATGCGTGTAGATGTAGTACTTTTTATCCTCCTCCTTGCCGACTACACCCCAGATGGGCAGGTCGTCAATGTACATCTGGTACCAGTACTGGTTCATCACTGCATACACGAATGCTTTGTGCTTCTTCTCGGTCAGTTCCACCATGCAGATTTCGGTCGGAGCGATGTCATCTGAAGAATTGAGGAGAGACTATTAAAAATCGACATTTTTACAGCCGCAATTGCGGGGTGACAAAAGGTCGAAATGAACAAAATCTCGAATGAACTTAAACGGACAAAACGTCAAATGAAACTTGATAGGACAAAAAGATGTATGGACTAAAGGTCAAAAAGGACAAGATAGAAATATTAAATAGGTCCAGAATTTTGTTAACCCCAAAAGAGCAGCATTCGAAAATACTGAGGCTGAGCGAAATGTCGATTTCCGACTTGAAGAGCAACAGCAGTCTTAATTTTTTTTAGAAAAATGATCACTAAAAGGGAGCAAAATTTAATTATTTACTGTCAACTGATTCAACAGGCTGTTTTATAGGTGCGGTGAAAGTGGTCAGTTTCTAATTTCATCCAAAACTGACTATGATACTTCAAAAACTGAAGCTACCAAATCTACGTTTGCCACAAGATGACCCAGGTACAGAGCTTTACATGGCTTTACTGTTTTCAGTTAAAATAAGAAATTTGCCACAGACAGTGTTGTTATTTGCATCAATTTTAGATAATATCTCTACATTCAACCCTGTAGAACACTATTTGGCATTTATTAACAGGTGAAAAGTGTTCGTTACCTGATTAGCTCCCCCCCAATTAGCCATAGTAATATATTATCACAAGTGAAAAAGTGCTAAGTTACAAGCAAGCGTTTAGTTCCAGTTGAAACATTGAACGATCCAATGCAAATATAAATAAACAAACATGGCAGTGCCCCTTACCATGCGATCATCCACCCATCCCCACCAGACCTTTCACTCGCTACAGTAATGTAGTAACCCCGTTCTAATTACCTTTAAAGTCAATCTCGTACCCGCTAAACTCCAACTCCACCCCCTGCAGGGCTTCGCTCATCGTTTCGTGATAGTGGTTGATAGTCTGTTTGGTTCCCACGCAGAACGGAAGCGAGAAATAGGCATACGTCTCCTGCCGATTATGGTACGGCCCAACAGTGTTCATCCATAGTACCACTTCTTCGTGGTCTTCGTACTGCGGAGATGTCCGGAAAAAAAAAACGGATGCACCCAGCATTAGTCATCGGTGGAAGCTTTCCGACTGTCCTGCCCACACCAAACCAAACTTACCATATGATTGTGCTCATCGCCAGCCGCTAGGGACACCAGAAAAACTAGCAGCGCCAGTGAAATCATTGCGGACTTCATCATGTTTTGTTTGACCGAGCGACCGAAGAGGGACACTCCACTGAATACCAAAAATCGAAAAACCGATAATCGACCGTATTCCACCACTAGCACATGACTTCCCGGGGAGGGCCGAGTGACGAGGATTGCGATGGGAGCGAATGGACTGGACGGGAGTTCCGTTTTTCAACCAAAAATGCTATTTATTTTTCCCGTTCCTGGGAGCGTAAGCAGCGAAAAACACGTAGACAAAACCGGAATGCACTTTTCCCTTGATTTTTCTTTCTCTTTTGACAGCGATGATCAAAAATCATCGAAGATGACATTTGTGACGTTTTCGCCTTATCTCTTCAACCTATAACAGTGACGTCAGTCGATGGAAGGGGCATGTAGGTGGTGAAGTGAAACTGTTCGAACGAATAATTAATAATCGAGCAGTTTCCTGAACACTAAAAATGTAACCAACCGATGGAACCGTCTCGAATGAACTAAATTCTCCTCTTGTAGGGGAACAGTTTAAAGAGACGTTAATAGACGTATCCGTATCCAACCGATGGAAACTAACGATTTTAAATTAACCACTTCATTCGAGCAGATAAAATGACGTTTACTACCACTCAAACGTTGAAATGAAACATTATTTTGAGATTTTTTCTTCTGGAACCTCGAGAAAAATACACACAAAGAATTATCGTTAATAAAATTTAAAAAAAACCATTGGTAGAATTAAAAGTTTGCAATGGTTCTTTTTGGTAGAAAGTCGTTAGCATTCAAAACAAAAGTCTAAGAATTATCAAATCAAAAGTTGTCTGATCACTGTTTTTAAAAGTAGAGACTTTCAAAATAAATTGTCCTACTGTCAAAAGAAAAGCTCGACTGGGTTGAAAAAAGTGAATTTTTTAAATTTAAAACATGCATTTGGGTTTGAAAGTTTTGGTATGGATGAAATAAAATGGGTCATTTTGAGTTTGAAATAATAAACATTCGAATAAAAAACAGGCAATTTTAATATTATAACACCTACTTTTCATTTTAAATTCTATAAAATATTGGTATCATTTTGTTTTATTTCGGTTTATTTTTATTATAATTTGAATGATATGATTTTATACATCCCATTTACTGGTAATCTTTGAGGAAGTACTCCAGGTCCAAGTGAAATACAACATGACGCTTCGTAACAAACGGTGGATCTAATAGAAATTTGCGATCAATCTTGGCAGTTTTCGTTGAGTTTATGGTTCTGATGCGAGGTTTATCACCATGACTAATCATAGAAGATATTCCACGGACGTACCGTTGCATGTTTGCCAAATTGCGCGCCGGATGCTACTGATAGTATTGTCTAGTCCTCCGATTCTCGCTCTGGATGTTACACCGAATCAGCTAGAGGAACCCGCATAAACGCGAACCATAAATTGACCTTACCTAAAATGGTTAAAAATTGTTTATAATCCCTGCTAAACTTTAACTGAAATGGTTATGGAACTTTACATGAACGTTTAATGATAAAGTTTCAACCTTATGTATTATGGTTTTTTGGAACTGTACCTTACAAATAATGGGTTGTTAAGAACCATTACCATTCCAAATTCTTGTTTTCTCCATACATTTTCAGAAAGAGAACTATATAAGAACGTTTTTACTTATGATTTGAGAACATTAATGGTAATGGTTATGGTAGTCAGTAAGGTCCATTAATGGTTTTGTATTATCGCTCAACTTTTCGTGGAATATATCGTGAATTGGTAATCAGTAAATTACAGGCAACCAATTCGCGATATATTCCACATAAAGTTGATCGATGTTACAAAACCATTCGTGGACCTTACTGACTACCATAACCATTACCATTAAAGTTCTCAAACCATAAGTTAAAAGGTTCTAATATAGTTCTCTTTCCGAAAATGTATGGAGAAAACAAGAATTTGGAACGGTAATGGTTCTTAACAACCCATTATTTGTAAGGTCCAGTTCCAAAAAACCATAATACATAAGGTTGAAACTTTATCATTAAACGTTCATGTAAAGTTCCATAACCATTTCAGTTAAAGTTTAGCAGGGATTATAAACAATTTTTAACCATTTAAGGTAAGGTCAATTTATGGTTCGCGTTTATGCGGGAAAGCTTTCCACGTAAAGCCACCGTCAATGGCATCCATAGTGACTTCGATGGTGTTAACACTGAAAATACTGCAAATTGCTTCGTATTTTTCAGGAACTATTCTAGATCTGCAACAAATGTCCACCTTTAATTAATCCACCTTTAAAACCAGAAAGAAACTTACCTTGTATTCAACTCCAGTTGCACATTCCGAAATAGGTTACTATTGGCCAAACCAGATTCCATCGCTTCCGCATTCTCGTACTCCATTGACCACTGAACCTGCGAATACATTTTAAATAAATTATAAGTAAATAGAAAAACATCAACTTTTTATTTGGAATTTAAGCTTGGAAATCGAGCAAGCTGAATTTGTTTTCCCGGGCAAATGTTTTTTTTTTCACGTGTGATGGCTGTGGTGCACGAAAAAACGAAACAACCCAACATTTATCAATGGTATTTTTGACAGTTAAAAATTTTTCATTTTGACAATATGCCTGTTTAAAATGACGAGTAGAAAGTGAAACAAAAACTTTTAAAATAAAAATTTTGCTTTCATTTTAAATATTGTCGTAGTCAAAGTAGTGGAAGACTTTTAATTTGAAAATGCATTATTTTTAAACGAACAATTTTTATTTTTAGTGTGTAGCCAACATTTGTGCGTTTCATAAAAAAAAATAGAAATTAGTTTGTCCAGTTTTGTGAAATCGCTGGTTGAAAGTCACGCCAAAACTGCTTGACAAAGGGGTCAATTGGATCACTACTTGACTAGTCTATTGGTCCCAAGCAAATCGATTAACGTACCCCATTCCAGTCAAAATTCCAGTACTACACTATGTTTGTTTTGATTCGCTATGAAAGTTTGACAGATAAAATGAGGGGTTCGACAGATAAAATGAGGGGTTCGACAGATAAAAAGAGGGGTAAAATGGATTTCGAAGGGGGTTACAGCAAGGTGATGGACTTTCGTGTCTGCTATTCAACATCGCTTTAGAAGGTGTGATCAGAAGAGCTAGGATAGACACAAGTGGCACGATCTTCAGGAAGTCTATCCAGCATCTTGGCTTCGCCGATGACATTGACATCATGGCACGGAACTTTGAGACGATGGCGGAAACGTACATCAGACTGAAGGCTGAAGCTAGGGGGATTGGACTTGCCATCAACGCATCAAAGACAAAATACATGAAAGGAAGAGGTTCTAGGGAAGACAATGTTAGCCTCCCACCCCGAGTTCAGATTGACGGTGACGAAATCGAGGTGGTCGATGAGTTCGTGTATTTGGGCTCACTGGTGACCGCCGAAAATGATACCTGCAGAGAAATTCAAAGACGGATTATGGCAGGGAATCGTGCCTACTTTGGACTCCGGAGGACGCTCTACAAGACGCTGATTAGACCGGTGGTCCTCTACGACCACGAGACCTGGACTATGCTTGTGGAGGACCAACGCGCCCTTGGTGTTTTCGAACGAAAGGTGTTGTGTACCATCTACGGTGGAGTGCAGATGGATAACGGAACGTGGAGGAGGCGAATGAACCACGAATTGCACCAGCTGCTGGGAGAACCATCCATCGTCCACATTGCAAAAATTGGGCGACTACGGTGGGCTGGTCACGTCGTAAGAATGCCGCACGACGACCCAGGGAAAATGGCGTGACCCAACAGGAGCAAGAAGAAGAGGAGCGCAGCGGGCAAGGTGGATCGACCAAATAGAAGGCGACCTGGCGGATCCTTCGCAGACTACGAGGCTGGCGAAGTGCAGCCATGGATCGAGTAGAGTGGAGACGACTTCTTTGGACAGCAGAGGACAACAAGGCCTCAGCCTGATTGGTAAGGTATCGATTAGCTTGGAACCGAAGATAGTACCAGAGTTGAGCCAAAAAGTTGAGTACGTTTCTTCGGTACCTTCTAGTCTTAGAGTTACCTCTATGATATTACATCCAAAGAGCTGCACAGAGGTCATTCCGCTGGTAGTGTACTATTACATTGTACGATGTATACTAATTTTGCGAACGAAATTTCATCCGCTTTTCCATCCATCGCTATTGAAAATTTAGTCGAATGCTGGTTTTTGTTTTGCTTGCGTCGTTTTCGTTCTAGTGAAAATGTTATAAATTTACAATTTCATTTTTAAGAAGTGTTAATTTGAAAGTACAGAATGATGTAGAAAAGTGCATTAAGTGAAAACTTTCAAATTCTTATCCATTGCATGTGGTGCTGACTGTTCTAACTTACGCGTAGTTACGCTCAGCTAAGTTTATTTACCTTTTCGTCCCTCTGTCCTCGATAGGAAATATCCAACTAATTAAAAACGATCATTTCAAAACTTATTAAATACGCGTCAATCAAGTATTGCACTGCTGCTTGATTGAAAGTTTCAGTACATTATCAATGGTGTACATATATTTGCATCGATAATGTATTGGAGAGGGGCTTATCATGTGTGAAAATAGCTTCGGAATACTTGCGTTCTTGAAATGGGCTATTGTAGCTGCGGTAGAGCTGTCACCTTCTAACTCCCGGGTTCAAGCTTCTTGCATTCATAGGAAATGATTGCAAGCAGATTTTATACATAATGCCACTGCTAGCCAGTGGGAGATAGACCAAGGGCGAATCTTCATTCTAATCTACGATTCCACATACTATTAATAACCTTTTACACATGAGAACCTCCTATCGATCAGAATGAATTGTGCATATGTTTAGGATCAACAAACATTTTCAGGCGCAAAGGAGCAACCGGATCGAGCTGATAACGTTTCTTAATTCCAAAATCTGAAGACTGCTTTGAATAATATGTTTAGGTAATGGGCAGCAACAACGAACAGATAAACTACTTCCAGCTTCTATTTATTAAATGTTTGATATAACGATTGCCAGCAACGCTGGCGGGCGTATCCTATGGCTTAAGGCCGGCGCACAATAGATACGTTTTCGGGTTTTTTGACAGATAATGCATGGGCTAACTGTCAAAAAACCCGAAAACGTATTTATTGTGCGCCGGCCTTTACCCTCCCTACTAACAAAAATTCACCCTTCCCGTGACACTTATGAGGAGTTGTAGAGTTCTCTGCATTTCTCTTAAGTAAGTGTCCGACTAACATTCCTCCTCTTTCCCCACCAGATGCAAGGACGTGGCCAGGACAGCTCTGATCTGTTGGAGGGAGACACATCCTTTATCTAAGAGGTAGTAATTAATCACAAATTACTATCGAACAGCAACGGATGAAGGTGGGTCTCCTTCTTAACAACAGTTTGGAGCTCGTACCACCTACGACATTGTGCAACCTGGTTTATGCTATGCTATGATATTGAAAATTTAGTCGAATGCTGTATTTATGTTTGGCCCAAATTAGGGGCATTTAGGCCGACATTACATCTATTTCCCCTATCTGCTTTAAGCTATTACATCAATATTTCATAAATCAGCTTGAATTCCCGCATTAACGCGAACCATAACTTGAACTTACCAAAAATGGTTAAAAAATGTATATAATTTCTACATAGCTTTAACTGAAATGGTTATGGAACTTTACATGAACGTTTATGTGCTAAAGTTGTAACCTTATGTTTTATCGTTTTATGAAAGTGAACCTTACAAATAATCGGTTGTTAAGAACCATTACCATTGCAAATTGGGTTCTTTAATTTTGAAAAATATATCGGTTTTTATATATCATCTGAAAGAGCTTCGTTTTCTGAGCACAGCTATATTTTTTTCGAACCCGCACACTTCCATCTAGATTTTTAAATCAAGATTGAAAGCAAAATAATAACTTCACTGTTTGACACTAAACTTACCAACTGACAGCTCGCTCCCATATAAAGTGACACCGAGGGGCGCTAATAAGGTGATTTTTGCAAATGTAATTGTACATATTTAAAATAGTTCCAGTGTACCAAAATTGATGAAATTTTGGGTTTGGGTTCCATTTTTAATGCAGATTACGAATATGCATTTACCTCAATAACCTCAATAAAGCTTGTTTTTCCCGATACATTTTTGGGAAACGAATTATATTGCAACCATTTTATTTATGATTTGAGAACTTTCATGGCAATGGTTATGGTAGTCAGTAAGGTCTATAGATGGTTTTGTAAGATCGATCAACTCTATGTGGAATATATCGCAAATTGGTTACCTATAAATTACTGATTACCAATTCGTGATATATTCCACGTAAAGTTGATCGTTAATACAAAACAATTGACCACATTGTCAAGCAGTTTTGGCGTGACTTTCTACCAGCGATTTCACAAAACTGGACCAACTATAGTTAATTAACCAGCTCATTCGAGCAGCTTAAATTACGTTTACTACCACTCGAACTTTGAAATAAAACATTATTTTCAGATTTTTTCTTCAAGAACCTCGACAAAAGTAGCCAACATTTGTGCGTTTCATAAAAAATAGAAATTAGTTGGTCCAGTTTTGTGGATTCGCTGGTAAAAAGTTACGCCAAAACTTCTTGACAAAGTGGTTTTTCGACAAACACCGTGCGTGTGATTTTTGGTTGCGAACAGCAACTGCTCGAAACACAAACAATCGTACACTGTAACTGGCGAGTACCCATTAATGGGTGAAAAAGTACCCATTTTATGGTAGTGTATGGAGCTGTCAAAAAATGCGTAAATGAAAATTTCAAATAGTGGGTACTTTTTCACCCATTTCCGAAACCTGTTCAGAGATCAAAAATGGGTACATTTTCACCCATTATTGGGTGAAAAATATCTTTGTTGCACCGTAACGTTTCTGACATACTTGGTGTACATTGTCGAGTGCCTTAGTTCCGTTAAAAAGTACAAAAAGTAATAAAAATGTATAGTTTAAAAAAATAGAAGGTGATAGCTTCAAAAAGCTTCAAGGTAAGAAATACTATAACATAACATTACACAGATAACGTCCGAGGATGTCTACGCATTCTCGTTTCCCTCACCAGAAGGGGTGTATGAAAATCTTCCTTGGAGGAGTCTACAGACATCGAAGCAGAACTAGCGGCTCCGATAATTCGATATATCACGGTAATATATCCATTACGCTAGATTTTGCTGTTGTTAAAAAGACGTTTATTTTTTTTTTGCAGCATACTGAAACAGCTTTACAAGAGCAATTAATGAAGTATGTTGCTTGGAATGTCGATGCTAACGTTGATGTGGCGCCCATCTGATTTTCAACGGCAAGAATTACTTTATTTACGTTGACGCTCAACTCATCCACGGTGGAATTGACTCCATCCGCGCGCTGAACACTCTATTTAAAGTGTTCACTGTTTTCAACATTCGTCCGCCAGCAAAAGTGCAAAAAAATATTGTTTTCATCGAGATCATATGTTATGGAATCAAAACGACCAGCACCCGTCCGATGGTCAATCGTTTGGTTTCATCGTTTAAGGAATCCATCCATGCTGACGAAAAAGATGCTGATGAATAATGTATTGTAATGTATTAATCTGGGTATTAATATCATTGTTTTCATTAATTATTGCAATGATATTCAATAAAAACCAAGTTCAAACCAAAAGCAAAACCATTAATCTGTAATTTTCATTTTATTGATTGATTTTAAAATTATTGCAAATTCTCAAATTTCAGGTTAAGTCCCATACATAAATTTTAACAAATGGGTACTTTTTTACCCAGTTACGGAAAACAATGCATTCTGGAAATGGGTAAAAAGTACCCCATGATTTGACGTATAAGCTCTTTACCCATTAGTGGGTAAAGATGTTTTACCCATTTTATGAGTTTACCTACTTTACCGCAAAATGGGCACTTTTTCACCCATTAATGGGTATTTTCCAGTTACAGTGTATACGTGTTTCACTTGCTTCTGTTTACGAATATAATTTATTTTCGAAACATTTTCTACGCTGGCAACACTTCTTCCATTCCTGACGTTGACGTTTCAAAGACTCCCACCTCGGCTGCTTTTATCAACGCATCGAGTTGCTTTCGCTTTGCTCGCTGGCTGCTTGCTACTGTCATCAAAATCAATCGAAAATGGCTGGAGGAATCACCGACATCAAGAAGCTCGAGTACGAAATCTACAAATATTCCAGCTATTCTTCTTCCTATCTGCCAGAGTAAGTATGAATCCGGCTCTCCCCGTTGGGACGATCATTTTCCAGCTAAAAGCAGCATCCGAATCGACGTATTTCGAGAGATTTGCCCAGCCCCCAAAAATGTCGCATTAAGTTTGCATGCATTCAATGGGTTTAAAATTAGCTGCAACTTTCGCTACATTTTCCCTGCGCGCTATGGATTGTGTATAAACGCGGGGCTAGTGGTGAATAGTGGACGTTTGTAGTTCCGAAAAAAATGAGCGGACCGTGGAGGTATCTTGTTTGGGAGTGACAAAGATGAATTTTTGTAGTAGTCGGAATGTTTTTCCTGGTAGAGGATTCGGCTGCGGGAAACTTGAAAATTGTTTTAACTGTAGTCAACTATAGGCAACCGAACCCAGAGTGCATTTTTTCAACGCGTGCACTCGGTGGTGTTTGTCCTTGTCACCAACCAATGTCTGCGATTTGTTGTGATAACACTAGTCAATAAATGCCACTGCACTTTCGATAGGTTGACGTCGCTCACTTTCGATTTCGTTCGTTCGTTACAGGAACATTCGTGAAGATAATCCCACCAATCAGACATCGCGATGGTCTTCGAACACCAACAGTCCACCGCAGTTTCTGGTGCTGAAGCTGGAGCGACCGGCCATCGTGACCAAGATCAAGTTTGGCAAGTACGAGAAAACACACGTCTGCAATCTGCGCAAGTTCAAAATTCTCGGAGGATTGGAAGAGGAACGGATGCTGCTGTTGTTTGAAGGGTGAGTGTGTTTTAATTTTTTCTCTGATGTTTCGGGCTCAAAGTTCAACCCATTGTTAAAGTTGATAAACGAAAGGCGAGGAGGGAGAAAAAAAAAACAGGTTGATTACTGAGTGGTTCCTTTCTTTGCAGCGGTCTCAAGAACGACTCGATACCGGAAACGTTCAACCTGAAGCATCGCACAAACTCGGGCGAACTGTTGCCGATCAAGTTCATCCAGATCGTGCCGTTGCTGTCGTGGGGCCCTAGTTTCAACTTCTGCATCTGGTACATCGAGCTGCTTGGGATCGAAGATTCGATTTTCATCCTCTCGAACCTGCGCAAGTACAACATGCTGCGTGAGGTGGAGATCGTTCGGTTGTTCATGAAGCACTGCCGCCAGCAGGGTTACGTGAAGGCATTCAGCGCCCTGCAGGAGGAAACCGGCGTCCGTCTGGAGGATGAAAAGATGACCGAACTGCATGAAATTCTTGTCAACAATGGAGATTTCAAGAAGACTGAGGAAATTCTGGTCGATTTTATCAATAGTAAGTCGGAGGGAAATTGCCACGAGTGGAGTGTTTCCTAATAAAAAAAAATGTATTTTAGGCGGCCTAATGGACGACTACCTCTCGAGGCAGGAATATAAACCGCACTGGAGTTTGCAGATGACGCCGGAGCACGATGCACGGCCAGGGCGCAGGGGAGGCCACCAGTTAATTATCGATCCGTTGACCAGTACCATCTATCTGTATGGTGGTTGGGATGGTAGCGAGGATTTGAGTGATCTGTGGTCGTACGACGTGAAGAACAACCGGTGGGCGTTAATTCACGAAAAGTCGGAACTGCTGGAAGGGCCAACGCCCCGCGCTTGCCACAAGATGGTGTACGATACGAAGAATTCGCAGATTTTTATGATTGGACGTTACCTGGATAGCGCTTCTCGCACGGAAGATAATATCAATAGCGATTTTTACCTGTATAATACCATCAGTAAAACTTGGTTTTTAATCAGCAACGATACTGCTCAAGTGGGTGGCCCGCAGCTCGTGTACGACCATCAGATGTGTATCGACGTAGACAAGCAAACGATCTATGTCTTCGGTGGTCGCATCCTGGAGCCGAAGTGAGTAGCTTAGTTTCAAATGTTCAGTTCAACTGCATTTATTTTTCCGTTCGATCACGCTATTCTACACGCACTTCCTACAAGTTACAGATTTTCTTTCTCCTTTAGAAATGAGGAAGAGACAACGGGTGACTACAAGTATTCGGGGTTGTTTTCCTATCACATCAGCACCAACACGTGGAATCATCTCCTGGTGGACTGTGGCCACCCGACGGCTGCCAGTCCACACGTGCAGAGCATCAAGTCGCGGGTGACCCATTCGATGCTGTTCCATCATGTAAGTTTTAAGATGAAATGGCTATAGTAACCGTAAGACCGATGGCATGGTGATATGGGTCTTATTCATATCCGTATACCTATTACGAACGCTTTGTTGAAAAAGATGGGATTTTTTTTTGCTGAATGGCAAGACCTTGCTGGAAGCGGCGAGGTTAATTCCCGATCCTTAATTACTTACTTAACTACTGTGGACACATTAGGGTAAAGGCCAACTGGCCAACATGATAGGTTTCCATCCTGCGTGGTTGTTCGCTGTTGACATGGACTCAGGTCGATAGGCTTGCTTGATTTATTTGTTGAGGTTCTAACGGTCTGATGACTTCGACGATTCGAGATCTGTTTGTGAGTCCACCAGACCAGCAGCATTTGAATGTTCATCTCCACTGATACGTACACTGCCGGTGCCATATACACATGGGACAATTATGCTTCCAGCGGCAGTACATGTCTAGCTAGCAGTACAGATTTCACATTTGATTCTGAAATTCGTATGTCTGTGCGCAGACTAATCTGGTTTGATCTCCAAATATTTCGTAAACCCGCAAAGGCAGTCCTAGCCTTCATGATTCGTGCACCTATGTCGCTCTTGGTCCCATCGAAACGCTATCTAGCAGCCCAAGATATTGGAAACTTAAGATTTTCTCCACTGCTTGCTCTGCTACCGTGTTGATGTCCAACGATTTGGTCTTGTTGACTTTGATGGATGGTGACAACCGCCGCATAGAAGCGTTCGGTTAGGGCATTGAGCTTAATCTGCATATCAGAGTGCCGTTGTGTTAATGTAGCAACATTATCAGCAAAATCGAAGTCGTTGAGGGGCTCCAAAGTGATAGCTGCCAATATAGTCCATGACATCCACTCTTATCTCTCAGTACGTAGCTCACGATGAAGGCATTTTTGATGGTCGAGCACTACTCTTCTACGCAACCACCTTCCGCTACCTCCACTGATCGGGTCTCAAGTCTTTCAACGTTATTTTTAGAGTTGACAAATGACCATAAACGCTTCGGTTTGCTGAGAAAGGAATATCAGCAATACAGAAACCGGTTGTACTTTCTAATACTAATTACTAGTACGGTTGAACCACAGACAAACAGTCATAACTCTCACACTCACATTCTTCGCACGCTCTAAAAGCCTGAACGCAATGACAGCCAAAGCGGAACGGCAACGGTTGCTGCCCGATCTGAGCTTTTTGACGTTTCATCGGCGCACACTACTGTATCATTTAAAGCACACGAGTGAGAGCAAGAGGGAAACAGATTAGTGGGAAACCAAACCGTCCATTCATCCATGTGTGCTAGATAGAGAAAGATGATTAAACGTCAAAAAGGTCTATTGAAAACTTTTTTAAATTAAATCGACTTCAATTAGATATCTTATTGTAATTTGTGACAACTGTCAAAGTTGGCGTTTCCGTTCCGCTTCCTCCCACATTGCGTTTGAGCCTTAAGGTGATTCCCTGTAGTGTCCTTTTCCGTATTACCACAAACGAAGCGACAGACGGAGCGGCTCGAAAACTTTGGTGACTAACCTGCTATTTCAATTTTTCAGTGTACCACATGGCAACACCACTACTACTGGATTGTACCACATGGCAACACTACTACTGGATTGTACTAGCATTTTCACCAAATGTATTAGAATGTTTTGGTTCTATCTCTTTCACTCTACTCAAAACTGAAATGCATAAAAAAAATGACAAAATGATACACTCTTTGCACACTGTCAAAGAATCATTGTACACAAAATCAACTTTGTTCAAATCAAAACAAAAAAACTAACCCATCTGGTGGATGATGGCACAAGCTTCCAAGAAAATTCTATTACAGTGAACCACATTATTTTAATGGATTTCTTCGCCAGTTAGTCGTCTGTCACTTCGTTTGTGGTATTACACTTCGCAATTACACATGTTAAAATAATGCGTAGATCTTGAGTTGTGTGCTCTTGAAATTGCGATGTGTGATGGAAAAATGGACTCTGCAAGGAAACACCTCAACAGTCAATTCAAATAAGGTTTTAGTTGGGAATGTACCATGGCATCTCTGAGATACAAATTTTTGAAGATAAAAAGTTTGTTCCGCGTTTTTAACCCGTAGAATTAATTTACCATTACCAATCAGGCAAAGGCCTTGTTGTCCTCTGCTGTCCGAAGAAGTCGTCTCCTGGGTCGTCCGCAGCCCGCAGGTCGCCTTCTAAGGCTTGTCCTCGAAAAAAAAATGCACCATTTTTATCCGTGTGTAACTTTTTTATCCGTGGGTAAAAATTGATGAAAATCTGGGTATAACTAATTTGGAGTGAATTGTTTACACGTGCAAAATTTCATAACAATCGGTTAAGTGATTATTAAGATGTCATCGAAACAAGAAGAACATTGCCGGAGAATTTTGCGCGCCGTCATGGAAAATCCGACTGCGACCATGAGATGGATCGGAAGACGTTTAAGGAGTCCCAGACGACCGAGCGGCGGGCTGGAAGTGGAAGAAAATCCAAAACAGCTGACCCTTTGAAGGCCCGGAAGGTGTTGGATTATTTCAAGCGTAATCCGAACCTTTTGATTCGCGACGTTGCCAAATCACGGTTTGATGTTCCGAAAGATATAAGGAAGAAGAAAGCGGACAAATTCGCCAAAAAAAAAGCTCTGGCAGGCCATATGCCAATGCGGTAAACTGAGTAAACCGTACATCACAATGGGTACAATCAACAGCGAAATTTACCGCACCGAGTGCCTCCAGAAGCGTCTTTTGCCCTTCCTGCGGTCCCACGGAGGCGAGACATTATTTTGGCCGGACCTGGCATCATGCCATTACGCGCGATCGATGTTGGATTGGTACAGAGACAATAACGTTGTTTTTGTACCAAAAACCGCCAACCCCCCAAATTCACCAGAGATTCGTCCGGTGGAAAGATTTTGGTCCATAATGAAGGCCAAAGTTCGAAAATCGTCCAAGGTGTTTAGGAACGAGCTGGAGTTGAAGAAAGAATGGATGAAAGTGAGCAAAAAGGTCGGCTCCACCATTGCACAAAATGTAATGAGGGGTCTTAAGTGAAAGGTGCGGACTTTCAGCGATGGAAAGGAAATTGAACAAAGTGCCGAAACATAATCCATATGTATTAGTTCATTCCCTGAAAGTTTCAAGAAAATCCGACTTAAAATAAATTTTTGGCGAATACTTTTGTCTGATGCATTTTTTTCGAGTACAGGTCGATCCACCTTGCCCACTGCGCGCCTCTTCTTCTTGTTCCTGTTGGGTCGCTTTCTAGAACCATTTTCACTGGGTCGTCGTGCGGCATTCTTACGACATGCCCAGCCCACCGTAGTCGCCTAATTTTTGCAAAGTGGACGATGGATGTTTCTCCCAGCAGCTGGTGCAATTTGTGGTTCATTCGCCTCCTCCACGTTCCGTCATTCATCTGCACTCCACCGTAGATCGTACGCAACACCTTCGGTTCGAAAAAACCAAGGGCGCGTTGGTCCTCCACGAGCATAGTCCAGGTCTCGTGGCCGTAGAGGACCACCGGTCTAATCAGCGTCTTGTAGACAGTCACGGTTCCCTGCCATAATGCGTCTTTGAATTCCGCTGCTGGTATCATTTTCGGCGGTCACCAGTGAGTCCAAATACACGAACTCATCGACCACCTCGATTTCGTCACCGTCAATCTGAACTCGGGGTGGGAGGCTAACATTGTCTTCCCTAAAACCTCTTCCTTTCATGTATTTTGTCTTTGATGCGTTCAGTCTGATGTACGTTTCCACCAACGTCTCAAAGTTTCGTGCCATGATGTTGATGTCATCGGTGAAGCCAAGAAGCTGGATAGACTTCCTGAAGATCGTGCCACTCGTGTCTATCCCAGCTCTTCTGATCACACCTTCTAACGCGATGTTGAATAGCAGACACGAAAGTCCATCACCTTGCCGTAACTCCCTTCGAGATTCAAAGGGACTCGAGAGTGTCCCCGATACTCGAACAACGCACATCACTCGATCTATCGTCGCCTTGACCAATCGCGTCAGTTTATACGGAAATCCGTACTCGTGCACAATCTGCCATAACTGATCTCGATCGATTGTGTCGTATGCGGATTTGAAATCGATAAACAAATGATGTTGAATCGCGAAAATTTGGTCCGTGGTAGCGCGGGCACCCATGAATCTTGCAAATTGTGACAGGCGTCGGCATAGAATTTGGGAGAGTACCTTGTAGGCGACGCTTAGCAGTGTGATCGCGCGGTAGTTGCAGCAATCCAACTTGTCGCCCTTTTTGTAGATTGGGCATACGACACCTTCCATCCACTCCTTCGGTAATATCTCCTCCTCTCAAATCTTGGCAATTACCCAGTGCAGCGCTCTAGCCAGTGCTTCACCACCGTATTTAAATAGCTCACTTGGTAGTTGATCTACACCAGTTGCTTTGTTGTTACTAAGCCGACCGATCTCCTCCTCAATTTCTTGAAGATCAGGCGCCGGTAGCCTGTTGTCTTCTGCGCGTGCTCCAAGGTCTATTGCGGTACCACCTTCGTTTTCTGCTGCTTCACCGTTGAGGTGCTCGTCATAGTACTGCTTCCACCTCTCAATCACCTCACACTCGTTCGTATTTAGCTTATTCTAGAACTTCCGTGTGTCCAATGATGGAAAAGTTCGCGAAAACTCACTATGACTCGCGAACTTTTTCCTTGGTGAACTTCGTGAAATATCGCGAACTTTTCCAACACTGCGTGTGTCGTTTACGCGGTACAGATTTTCCATCGCCTCGCGATCTCGGTCTTCCTGTTGACGCTTCTTCGGAAAACCGAGTTTTGTCTGTTCCGCGCTTGTCTGTATCGCTCTACATTCAATCTCGTGCGGTGTTGCAGCATTCTCGCCCGTGCTGCATTCTTCTCCTCTACAGTTTGCATTCGCCGTCAAACGAGTCATTTCTTCGGTCCGGAATTGCAGTACCTAGTGCTGCTGCAGCAGTACTACCTATGGCGGAACGGATGGCTCTACAGCCATCTTCAAGAGAAGCTGCGCCAAGCTGCTCTTCCGTGGGTAGTGCAACGCGTAGTCCTTGGCAACTCCGGAGTCCTGTAGTTGCTCAATGTTGGGTCGCGGCATAATAGTACGTAATAAACGCTGTCCAGACTGAAGAGTTATAACATGTAATAACGGTTGTCAACTAATTGCAACACAGAAACCACCATCAAGATAGCGCTATAACATGTTATAACCATAGAGGTAACTCTAAGACCACTGGGTCCCGAAGAAAATCATTATTATTTTTGGCTCACTCAGTACCAGAACAACGGTCCCAAGCAGTCCCAAGCTATTTCACTCACCCCTGCATGTTCTGCATGAATCCACACACCCCTGATGTTATCTGTCAAACTTTCATAGCGAATCAAAACAAACATAGTGTAGTAATAGAATTTCAACTAGAATAGGGTACGTTAATCGTTTGCTTGGGACCAATAGGCTACTAAAGTGGTGAGCCAATTTAAAATCGTTAGTTTCGTATTGATTGTTGCTATTACCAACAATCAATACGAAACTAACGATTTTAACTTGGCTCACTACTTGACTAGCCTATTGGTCCCAAGCAAACGATTAACGGACCCCATTCTAGTCGAAATTCTACTACTACACAATGTTTGTTTTGATTCGCTATGAAAGTTTGACAGATAAAATGAGGGGTTATTGGTTTTTCCTATGTTTCGAGGGGTGCATCGATTAGCTTGGGACCGAAGAGAGTACCAGAGCTGAGCCAAAAAGTTGAGCACGTTATTTCGGGACCTTCTAGTCTTAGAGTTACCTCTATGCTATTACCATGTTTCACAATCGTAAAAATATTAAATCTTCCTCATTCTTCCAGAAACATCGCAAACTCTACATTTTCGGAGGCCAACGTGGTAAGGACTACATGACGGATTTCCTGATCTACGATGTGGACAGCACCGAGCTGACGAACATGACGCCGGAAAATGTCGGAACAGATTCGAAAAATGTACCTCAATCAGGCTTCACCCAGCGGGCGACGATCGATTGCGAGAAGGACGAAATCTACGTCCTAACTAGTCTGAGTAAGGAAAAGGAGCGGCGCGATTTGAATATCAACTCTTTTTGGTTGTTTTCGTTGGCCAAGAAAGAGTGGTGCTGCGTGTACAAGAGTGACCATTCGATTGGGGAAAACTGCTACCTAAAGAATCAGAACGCTTGTGCGGAACCCTGCCCAAGATACGCCCATCAGATCGTGTACGATGCGACCAATCAGGTCCATTTCCTGTTCGGTGGCAATCCGGGCATGAATTCGCACTTCCGGTTGGACGATTTTTGGATGCTGCGGCTGGAGAAACCCACCAGGGACAATATTCTGCGCTACTGTAAATACCTGCTTAGGAAACAAGAGTACGAAGAGATTGCCAAGACGAATCCCCTTTCGGCTATTTCCTACCTGCAAACGAAACTGTACGACATCATCGATCACAACGATCCGGCGCAGTTGAAAGAATTCCACAAGCTAGCTTCTCTCCTGTTCAAGTCGGATAACACCGACTGTGAAACGGAACCAACTAGTCTACTGGCTTGTTCCCTGGGCGGTAGTTTAAAACCCAACACCCAAAAACACCCGAACGAGCATGATGGACCACACGAAGACAATGCCAAAATGATGCGCGTTGAATCACCCAAGAATGCAGACGACGCGGACGCTTCCAGCATCAGTTCGCTCAGCAGCGAGTGTTCCAGCTCCCAAACGGCCCGTGCGACCGCATCGTCGTCGTCGTCCAGCTTTTCGTCGCGCACCCGCAAGGCGAGCGATCAACTGTTCGAGCTGAAAATTCGGCGCTGCCTACTGTACAACAAGCTCGTCGATCTGCTCCCCGAGAGTCTCTGCCAGCCAAAGAAAAACATTAGCGATTTTGTGCTTCTCTAATCCCCGCTTCGGCACAGAGTTTTTCTAGGTTTTTGCTTCTTATCCACTCCTAACTTCCCTTGTTTAAGCACACACACACATACACACACATTCTTCGAACTTGTCGTCCCTTCAGACTGCTAAAACATTAATCGGTACGGATTTAGACTAACAAGAGGAAACGGAAATGTGATATCTACTCTCCCTTCCCCACCCCGTAGTTTTTCTTTCTTGTCGCTCGTATGTCATCTCATCGAGAACCAGTCAAATTTTGCCTAGGCGCGCTTGTCCGGTCGCAAAATAATTTTCCAACAACTTTTCATTACGGTTAAGAAAAGACAATCAATTGTAATAATGGACTTAGGAATATGTTTAACAAATTCAGACGACGCGTTTTGTTAGCAAGACGGTGCATCACAATTTATTATGATAGCTCTACACCTACCTACCTTCCTCGTTTCCAGCAGCGAACATCACACACCAAAACGTAATAGAAGCTAGATTTTGTTTGTTTGTTTTTAGAATTGTAAATTTGCCTCTAGGTAGGAATATGAATATTATTTTTTTGTTTTGGATAAACCACAGTGATTCTACGTAAGATTCTTCCGTTTGTGTAATTGTCCCTGTTTTACTGAACGATTGAGTTACTCGAAAGTGCTATTTGTTAGCTATTAAAGAAAGGTAAAATCTCTAATAATTCTATCCTGCTGTTGTATTTTTTCTGGGAAATTAGTAGAGAATGTCCTTAAATTATATTTGCAATGGGTTATGTTAAAACTCTCAAAAATTGTCCACGTGGCTTCTGAGAAGGTGTAATTTTATAGCCTTGGACATTTGTCGATTTTTTTTTGTTTATTATTTCATTTGATAAGGCTCAACCGAATTAACTTTACAGAGCCGAGGATCCTTGGTCACTATACAATACATCTTAAAACTATAGTCAAAAGGTACAACACAATAAACACTTTATCTTCCGCTATCCAAAAAGCCTCCTCCATCAGAACTGGAGCCGCTTCCAGTAGTTTCATTGTATGGCAAATTGTTGTTCGCCAACGAGGGTCAGAGCGCGTCCATTGCAGTAATGGACGCAAAACGTGGTCATCACTCACACACTCATCACGAAACGGTTGCTTTCCAAAGTCGACGACGCATCGACCGAAAGAACTGCTGATGAAGAACAATGAGGAGGACCACACACTGGTTGCTGCCGATAAAACAGACGATCGCGTAGCACACATCGAGAGTGGCCTGCTTTTGTCGACAGCCGAGTGAACACTGACATTTGTCGATGAATTGGATTATTTTTTTTTCAGTTCAGCTTTCTGTTTTCATTCGACATCAGCCATTGCTCGTATTCATCGGACGTGTGCTCTTTCTGCTCTGCTTAACTTGGTGAAATATTGTAGCGAAAATGAGTGTAGTTCATAAAAACACACAATATTCAATATTCGGACATTTTTATTTTTTTTTTCCTTTGGTTTGTTTTTTCCGTCGATCTTGTTTTCCGTGCTGAGCACCAATGCTACCGACGTGCCAGGAAGGCAGCTCCCACACCTGGACCCTACCTATCGACCCATCAACTCATGAACCTTTACTTCCCATCCGAAGGAAGGCGTGATCAGAGATGTTATGCCTCAGAACATCCCGGCGGCGCCGACTGGGATTGAACCCAGACCTGCTGGGGTGAGAGGTAATCACGCTTACCACTACACCACCGGCGCCGTTTTTATTCGGACATTAGATGCATTCAGTTTCATAACGTCCGAAATTGTGTTTTTATTGAATGACTCGAGAAAAATGCGACTTGTTTGCTCGTCATTTCAAGCAAGTGTTCCACGATTTCTCCGTTTCGCCAACACAAGTGCTGGACGCTACTGTTGGGATGCCACGTGATGTGTTTAGTTTCGTTATTCCGCGCATTTCAGAAGACATGGTGATAGCCGCAACACGCAAACTGAAGCTCTCGTTCGCCGCCGGACCTGACGGCATTCCGTCATCAGTTCTAAAACGTTGTGTGGCCAATCTCTGCCTTCCGCTTGCGAGGCAATTCAATCTCTCGGCACAGCAATGTGAGTTCCCCTGCCGCTGGAAACTTTCTGTTCCCAGTGTACAAAAAAGGAGATAAACGGAATTTCATAAATTATCGTGGAATCACCTCCCTATGTGCCTGCTCAAAACTGTTCGAGATTATCATGAATGGTGCTCTGTTCACACGCTGCAAAAATTATATCTATACAGAACAACACGGTTTCTACCCGAAGCGCTCTGTGTCCACGAACCTGGTGCAGTTCACTACTAACTGTCTGCGATGCATGGATTCAGGATGGCAAGTCGATGCTGCGTATATGGATCTAAAAGCTGCATTTGACACGGTGGACCATAATATCTTGCTGGCCAAGCTGGAGATACTTGGCTTCTCGTCAACTGCTGTGGATTGGTTCAGATCTTACTTGGTGAATCGGTATGTACATGTCAAGATTGGCACGTCGGAATCGGATGTTTTCTCAAACAACTCGGGAGTTCCGCAAGGCAGTAACCTAGGACCGCTACTATTTTCGATCTTTTTAAACGACGTCGCCTTGCTGATACCATCAGGATGCCGCGTTTTCTATGCAGACGATACGAAAATCTACAAAATTATTAAAGCCACTCGGACTGCTGGGATCTCCAGAATATGCTAGGTATTTTTGCTGACTGGTGCTCAAGAAATTTGATAACTCTAAGCATAGAAAAATGTAACATTATTTCCTATCACCGAAAAATCGAACCAATCATGTTTGACTATGTTCTCTACGGACGCTGTCTTGCTCGTGTAGAGCACATAAAGGATCTCGGCGTTACCTTGGACTGCAGACTCATCTCCAGAGCTAATCGACAATTGGGCTTTATTTTCGAAATTGCCGACGAGTTTCGTGACCCGCTATGCCTCAGGTAACTTTACTGCTCGCTTGTGCGATCCTTATTGGAGTCAAGTTCAGTTGTTTGGTGCCCTTTCCATGCTAGCTGGATCACTAGAATTGAATCCGTTCAACGCAAGTTTGTGAGATATGCTCTTCGTTTCCTCAACTGGCGTGACCCAACGAACTTGCCACCGTACGAGGAGCGTTGCCGTCTCCTGGGAATCGAGCCATTAGAGGTGAGACGGACGGTCGCTCAAGCTATGTTCGCTGGAAAGCTGCTTACGGGTGACATTGACTGTCCAACACTGCTGTCACAGCTATATATGTATTCGCCTGAGAGGTCATCTTCGTCAACGCGACTTTCTGTTTTTGGAACCACGGAGCCGGAATTATACACATCACGAGCCAATTCGAGCAAACAGCCGGCAATTCAACAACTTTTTTTTATATGCTCGACTTCAATGTACCAGCTGACGTGTTTCGTCATCGGCTACTTGGCCTTTTCCGTACCGTTGACCGTAACTATTTAGTTTAAGTTTTATTCATTTAGACAATAATTGTCAGTTGATTTTTTTCAAAAGCTATAGACAATTGAGATGATAGACAATGAAGTTGCCTTGCGCTATGAAAAGGCGCACAACTATAAACACGCGATCCTCTGTGCGAAGAGTGAGTTCAAAATCCCGGTATACTACCCATAATCGCATATCAGTCCCATCTTTGTTTAATTTCCTATCCATATGGGACTGATATGCGATTATGGGCAGTATATGTGGATTGTGAAGCAGTGACCGTTCGAGTGCATGACCTTCCTCTGGCATGGCCACAAGCCACTGCTATGAACCACATGGCAAAGTACGGGACAGTGATTTCCAGTCGACATGAGAAATGGAAGCACTACTTCCCAGGATTCCTGAGCGGTGTTCGAGTTTTGCGAATGCAGCTCGAAAGCGCCATTCCATCATACATCACGGTCGACAACGAAACAACGTTGGTAATGTACGACAAGCAACCAAAAACGTGCCGTCATTGTGGCCGAGCAGCACATCCCAAACAGAAATGTTTGGATGTAGCCACATCGAACAAAAGCACCACTTTAGCAGCTCCACCAACCGAGGCGGTATTCAGTCTCGCTGATTTCCTGTCGATGGATATCGAAGAAAACCAGCCAACGACATCGGGTCAATCATCTCCTGCTCTCACCGGGTTCTCAGCAGAAAACAGCGAAACACCGACAATCAGACCGAAGATCATCAGACTTCAAACGTTGAAAGCAACGACGAAAATTCTAGCACCAGCTCATCAAACGCAACAAAGGATTTCATTGAAAATACCAACAAACGCCGGCTGTCGAAGCACAAGGAGAACGAAAAAAAGAAAGTTCGTGTTGATCAGTGCACCCAGAAGACTGGTCAACAAACAGATCGTTTAGATGAAAATAATGCAACTTATCAAATAGGGCATAATACGTTTTATTTGAAAAATAAAAGCGGGAAGGGATCTAATTGCAAATAATGGTCATCGGCCCAAGCAATGCCTAATAGGCGAGAGGGCCTTATAAATAAACGCAATTGAAAAAAAAATCGTTCTGTTTTAAATCCTGATTTTTTTTTTCTATCACAGAAGCATTTATTAGTTATTTATTTCGAAGTCTTGAGATCTTTAAAATTTAAGTTCCGAACTTCTTAATATTTGTCTATGTTGGTACAAGTAGCGGTTTTTTTTCGCATTTGTACCAAACAGCAGTTATTCCAAGTAGCATTAGACCAAACGAGGTAGAGCCGTTGTCATCGCAGGGGTAAAGGAAGAATGTCTTAAATCTATCAAAAACTGCCACGTGGTTTGTGGACGGCATTGTGAGGCAGGAAAGTAAACAACGAAATTCGTTTCATAAAAATAAGTTGTATTATGGAAAAGATTAAGATACGCATTCAGTAGGTACTACTGCATTTTAACAACTACATGCGTCAAATCTTGTGGCGCCTGTACTGGCAGCGATTCCATCAGCTGACTTTTATCTTCTATTTCCATTAGATCGTCTTCATAAAATTCGGTCTGTTGTTCCTGCTGCAGTTCGACTACTCCCAAATGATTTTCAATGCGCAGACAAACGGCCATGTGATCTTTCTTGAGCTTCCTCGTGGGAAACACTTGTTCACACTTCGTACATCGCTCCACCTGTTTGCGAGAGGCCCTGGCCGCACCCAGCAGCTGATTGGATGCCGGTCTGACACGGGCGTTGGTTTTCCGACCATGCACAAGGAACATGTGCTTGTTGTACTGGAGGTGATATTTAAAATCCCGATCGCAACAAATGTAATCATCGCGATAGCTTATGCAGAGATGTTCGTCGAATTCTTGCTGATTGAAAAATGCCGACAAACACACGGCGCATTCCAGATCCTTGGGATTGTCGTGGTGCTCTTTGTGTTCGTGTAAATCAACGGACGTTGTGAATGATTTTAGACAGATTTCGCACGGAAAGTAGGTTTGAATCTGAAATTGTTAGTTAAGGGTTAGTAGAAACATTGCTGATTCTTAATCCGCAAGTCTTACATTATGGGACTTTTCCATGTGCATTCTCAATTTATCTTTTCGACCGTAGCTCACCGTACACATGGTGCAGGTGAATTTGATTGCTCGGTGGACGTTGTTGTGATGTCGCCGAAGGTGGGCCGATGTCTTGAAAGCCATGTTGCATTCATCGCATGGAAAGCTACGCTGCTCGGAATGCGTCTTTTCGTGTAGAGCTAGCGATTTCTTGCTGAAAAAATAAATCAATCAATTTAAAAACTTCACAGGGGGGCCAGTCACTTACTTTTTGAAAGCCAATCCGCAATCATTGCATAGGAAATCCGTTACATTCAGGTGAATTACGGACATGTGAAGCTTTAGCTCGTTCGAGGTAAAGTACGACGTCGAACAGTATTGACAGGGATACTTGCTGTCCCCTTTGTGTCTCCTCAAGTGAAGCTCCAGCGTATATTTATGCTTCAACACCATGCCACAAATGTCGCAAACGTACTTGGAATGCATTTCCTTCTTATGCTTCAGCAAATCCTCTTTCGTGGCATAAGCCTCGCTGCATTTAGCGAACGAACATTTCCATGGGTTCTCATCATTGGGATTTTCGTGTCGATCCCTATGATGCTGGAACATTTCATTCGAGGTCGTTCGATATTCACAGAAAGGACATTGAAGCATTCTAGTTTTTGATTTTTGCTTGGATGATTGTAGCTCCGATTGGGAATTTTCTTCACATTCTGTTATGAAGAATGTTTCCGAACAGTCTTCGGTGTCTTCCAGAAACTCAATAGTTTCTATAGCCTCTTGAAATTCTTCATTTTGCTTGCCGGGAGCCTCTCCATCTTCTATGTACTCCACATTATAATACTCTATATCGTCTTGCCGTTCAGTGATCTTCTGACCTTCTTCGAGTTTTACCACCGTTGTAGTTTCTGAATCAGAGTCCTTAGCTATACCGGGATCATACTCGAGAAATCTTTCAAGCTGAACCTCTTCCGGTTCACAGATGGTTAGTTCCCTAAACATATTTTCCAAAGCAGGCTTACTATCGCTAAACAGATCCACCATCTGGGTCCTATTTCCTGTTTTTAGTCTAGCAAACGCCACTTGAAATTTCATTAGCAAGTTCAGTTTTAACTGATACTGGACTGCAAATTCAAATACGGCGAAACATTTTGCACACACAGTTTTAGGAACAAGTTCACTAACATCCTGTAATTCCAGAAATACAACTGATTAAACCAATAAATTAGCACAATTTTAGCAACTTTTACCTTGGGCATTTCGAACGTGAAATTGTTTAGCAACTCGAGCATCGTATGAGTCCCATGTTCCAAGGTACTGCACTCGATGGGTATCAACTGCTCGTCAGGTTTGGGCTGGATACACAACCGGCATACGTTCGGAAAATGGTTCAGGTTAAGGATGGCCATTTCATTGAACTACTGCGAGTGAATTTAAATTCTTTTGGGCAAGTTTTGAAGGAATTATTGGTGTAAAATGTGAAGTCGAAGATAAAAGTGAATAAAACAAAGATGTAAACAAAAACATTTTTATTATTTGACATTTTGAACGACGTTAGCCCATCGGAAAACCAAAATATACACGGCCGTAGAATCTCCCTCAAATTTGTGTTCCGTTTACTCGGTAAAACCATGACGACAAGCAACCGGTGGAAACCTGGGACGAGGCTTGACAATCGGGTAGCGATTTCGAGCCCACTTGCTGTCTAATCCGAGCCAGTTTTGATTGGTCGATTTAACTTAAACTTAACTCTTGATCGAGAATCCAAACTGCCGATTCAAATGTGCAGCGATCCCATCTGTCTAAACCATAGAAATGCGTGGGTTGCGACACATCTAAATCTAAATTTAAGATCGTCAAAAAATCTCTTGATAGCGAATCAATCTTCGAAAAATCTTTTTTCATCTCTTGCATCTAAATCCACCCTAATAAACGGGTACCATACACTAACGATATAATAGATAGTGCGACCATACCACATAAAGTTGGGATGATATCCCGAATTGGTGGTTAGGTGCTTGTTATGCTTATTGTTTATGAGGGCAGCTACACGGATAGAAATCTCCTTATACCTTTTGGCAAATTTCTATTGCTGATTATTTGTAAAATGTAGAACGCAACTAATACCCCGTTCACATTACAGCGTATATCACGTGATATACGCTGTCTTGCAATGAGCACTCATACATCAAGTTTTCACTGGAAATCCTATGTATGAGTGCTCATTGCAAGACAGCCTATATTACGTGATATTGGCTGTAGTGTGAACGGGGTATAAATAAGCAGACACCTTGCAAAAAGTTGATGAAGATAATGAGTCAAATGAAATGTATGAGCGGTCACACATACCTTTTATACATTCTTATAGGACCTATGTGGTTTGTCTCGAGGTTTGTCTTATGGAATGTATAAGCACAGACAAACAGACATAACACATTGAATATTTCTCACTGTAAAAAATCGTCACTAAAACATTATCGCCATCTGTTGAGTGCACTGTGGTGGGTAGTACGCTGAACAGATGGCGGTAGTGTCCAAACGTCAAACGCAAAGGAATCAACCATGCGCGCTACAGGTGGCGGTACTACCAACTAAAATACTTTTAAATTGACCGTTAAATGCTTGTTCGATGCTAAACTTGCGAGTGTTATGTCTGCTTGTCTGTGGTATAAGGCTGATGTTTTGGTAAAAATGTATAAGTGAAACAGATGAATAAAATAATTCTAGATAGAGCTGGAATTAGGGCGTAACAGCCTTTGTAAACAATGACTTCTCTCGTTGATTTCTCGGAATTGAAGGCACGCCTACACAAACCAATATATCCATCGGGTAGGAGAAGTTTTCCTCTACTCGATGGTGATGTTGATTTGCCAAGGAGAGCCGTGGATTCCGAGAAATCATCGAGAGAAGTCATTGTTTACAAAAGCTGTTACGCCCTAATTCCAGCTCTATCTAGAATTGATTACTAGTGAATAATAATGTACTAGCACAGACAAACAGACGTAACTCTTTGAAAAAGTTTTTCTTGAAAACATAGTATCTCAAAACATATGACCTCAGTAACGACATCTCTCGGGCTTCTCGGAAGACAAAGCTTGCTCGCTAGCTCGCAAACAATAGAATGTATAGAAACGTCAAAGTGATCCGATGCCAGCGCTGCGGCGAGTAGTTCGCGGATCTGATAATATTCAAATCAACCGTTAAATGCATGAACGAAGATACACAATGAAGTGTTACGTCTGTTTGTCTGTGGTACTAGTATCGCTCTCCACCTTTTTGCAAGAAATCTTCAAAATCTTCATCAATCTTCCTTCTATCTAATAAATGTGCGGGCATCTCACAACAGCAAAGCAAAATTTTTCCTGAATCTAAGATAGAGTCACTCCCCTCGTAGAAATGTTTTATCTACACACAAACAACAAAAATTGTATCAATAAAAATACTGCATTTGCATAAAGGGCGAACACGAAATTATTGCGACACCAAAAATGTCATGCCAATTTTCTCATAATGTTAAGAATCAAACCAAAATTTTAGGGTAGTTTTATACATATATTTACTTCAAAAATCAAAAGAAAAGTTAATCGATGGAGCCTTGAGTGTAAAATTGAACGCATTTTCGCTTGATGCCCTCCATCAAAGTCTTTACAGTGTCATCCGGTACCAGTTTCTCAGTTTTTTTTTCCATTTTCTAAACATGTCCTTCTCGTCTTTGACTGTCTTCTTGCTCTTCCGAAGTTCCCGCTTCATTATTGCCCAGTACTGCTCCACCGGGCGCAGCTCCGGACAGTTTGGCGGATTCATGTCCTTTGGAACAAAATGGACAGAATCGGCCTCATACCACTCCAAGACACTTTTAGAATAGTGGCATGATGCCAAATCTGGCCAAAATAGCGGAGCTTCGTCGTGCTGCTGCAAGAACGGCAAAAGGCGCTTCTCGAGGCACTCAGATTTGTAGATATCGCCATTTACTGTGCCCTTTGTCACGAAAGGCTCACTCCTCAGTCCGCAAGAGCAGATGGCCTGCCAAATGAGATATTTGGAGGCGAACTTCGACATTTTCTTCTTCTTAAATTTGTCGTCCACATCGAACTTGCTCTTGCCGGTGAAAAACTCCAACCCCGGAATTTGCTTAAAATCGTCGTTATACGTTTCGTCGTCTATCACACAGCAGCCATATTTTGTCAGCATCTTCTCGTAGAGCTTCCGTGCCCGAGTTTTAGCCGTCGATTGTTGCCGCTCATCGCGGTTTGGGAAGTTCTGTACCTTGTATGTATGTAGTCCAGCTCTCTTCTTTGCATTCTGGACGTAGCTCTGCGACATGAAGATCTTTTTAGCCAAATCACGGCTTGAGACGTTGGGATTTGCTTTAATCATCCGCTTCACCTTTCCCTCCGTTTTTTTGTTCTCCGGTCCCGGTTTTCTTCCAGCTCCCTTGGCGTGGTCCAACGTCAACCGCTCCTGGAACCGCTTCAACACTCTGGAGACGGTTGAATGGTGAATGTTCAACATTTTTCCCAACTGCCGGTGCGACAGGTCAGGAAATTCCAGGTGTTTGGAAAGAATTTGTTCTCTCGACTCGCGTTGGTTCACCTCCATTTTCGTTGAATCGAAAAACACGACTTCTAGTTTGACAGCATGTACACAACACACATCAATGAGAAAGTGTGCAAAATTTGGTTGATTTTTACCCAATAGTAAAAAAGTTATGCCCTGTTGAATGTGTCGCAATAATTTCGTGTTCGCCCTTTATATGAAAGTTTTCTAAAATTCGTAGCATTAACTGCGAAAATATTCAAAATAAAAATTATATTTTTTGTTTGAAAGTGTTTTTCACTTTCAACTTGTAATTTTAAAAGTGCATTTTTTAAAAGGAAAGTTGTTCAACTGTCAAAATACCATTTCACATCGACTTGTTTACTTACAACACTGAACTTTCATTAGCCGTTTACTTCACGTCAAAATATATTGCGTACATTTTTGCTGCAGCAGCACCATCGTTTCTCCCACCCGTGTAGTCAATTTGCTTGGGACCAATAGGCTAGTCAAGTAGTGAGCCAATTTAAAATCGTTAGTTTCGCATTGATTGTTGGTAGTACCATCATAGAGGGCCAAGAAGAGAGTATCAGAGCTGAGCCAAAAAGTTGAGCACGTTTCTTCGGGACCTTCTGGTCTTAGAGTTACCTCTATGGTACTAACAATCAATACGAAACTAACGATTTTAAATTGGCTCACTACTTGACTAGCCTATTGGTCCCAAGCAAATCGATTAACGTATCCCATTCTAGTAGAAATTCTAGTACTACACTATGTTTATTTTAATTCGCTATGAAAGTTTGACAGATCAAATGAGGGGTTCGTGGATTTTCCTATATTTCGAGGGGTACATTGATTAGCTTGGGACCGAAGAGAGTACCAGAGCTGAGCCAAAAAGTTGAGCACGTTCCTTCGGGACCTACTAGTCTTAGAGTGAGTCTTAGAGTTACCTCTATGGTAGTACCATAGAGGTAACTCTAAGACTAGAAGGTCCCGAAATAACGTGCTCAACTTTTTGGCTCAGAACTGTTTGTGCGTTTCACAAACGTCAGAGAAGCCTATTGTTAACTCTTAAGAGTTGATGAGTAGCAGGGTGTCGACTACCTGGAAAAACCTGGAATGTCAGGGAATGTCAGGGAATTCTATTTATGATCTGGAAAGTCAGGGAATATCAGGGAATTTTAATGTAGGTCAGGGAAAAAAATAATGTTGATCACATTGCAAAAAATCATGTGTGGAACACATAAAACAATCTTTGAAATTTTATCAGTGCATGACGTCAAAGTTTTTGGGAAGATCCCGGGCATCAGATCTACTCGCTGCGTTTATGGACGCCCTTGCCGGTATTTCTTCGAACAAGTTGCTGCAAGTGTCCATGGATGGGCCCAATGTGAATTGAAGCTAGAGGTACAAAAAGGTGGCGAGAAGCTGATAGATCTGGGAAGCTGTGGGCTGTATATTTTGCATAATACATTCAAGGATAGTGTTCGCAGGATTAGTTGGGATGTTGTCAAATATTTGCGTGGTATCTACAATATCTTCAAAGATGTACTAGCAAGATCTACCATATTCCCGCTAAAGTTTTGCGGGCAGAGGGCAATCAAAATTACTCCGCAAATACGAAAATTTATTCAAGGCGTCCAGAAAGACAAAATTGAACCAACGTCAGCTTCCTACCAAGATGTTAAAAACTGTTTGAATGTCTCGCTGCTGATGGCTAATAGTACGTTCAGACTACAGATTTATAACATGTTATAGCACTATCTTGATGGTGGTTTCTGTGTTGCTATATTTGACAAACGTTATAACATGTTATAACTCTGTAGTCTGAACGTGGTATTAAGCTAGCTTTCTTTAAATCAGTTGCTATCGAAGTTGAGCCATTTCAATGCGAATTTCAGATGGACCTTTTATGGTGCCTTTTTTGTGCAACGCAATGTCTCAAATGGTTAGAGGCGTTATGGA